GTGACAGCTTAAAAGAACTGAGTTTTAGGGAAGATAATCCTTGCTTTAGTTCTAGGGGATTCAGCAGGACTGTCCTAAATCAGTGGTTATGATTGGAGTGTGATTTTTGCCCCCTCCCACCCGGGGACATTTTGCCATGGTGGGAGACAGTTTTGGTGGTCACAACTGTGTGTGTGTGTGTGTGTTCATGTGCATCACTGACATCTTGTGACTGAGACCAAGGCCACAGTTAACGTCCTTCAATGCCTAGGATAAACCCTACGGCAAAGACTTTTCTGGCCCCAAATGTTAGGAATGTTAAGGTTGCAAAAGCCTATCTAAATCAACCCTATTCTCCTTAAGAAATGAAGCAATGTCACTTTCCCTACCCCGTAACGGATCTTCAGTTGACCAATGAATTAACCGATGAGGTTCTGACCAATGGGGTGTAAGAGGAAGTCTGCTAAAGTGGGTCTTTCAACAAAGTTTTTGTTCTTTTCTAATGAAAACGGACAGACTTAGATGGCACAGAATGTGGCCCTTTGTCTTGTTCCTATTGTGCTTTCCTTTCAGGCACACAGGATGCTGTGGTTAGGAGGTGTACTTGCCATCTTGGGACCACGAGGGAACACGCTTTGAGAGGAAAGCTTGTAACATCCACTTCTCTGAGCCAACATCTGGCATGTGCATACATCCAAAGGCCTTGTACTTCAAGAGCTTCATGTAGCCAAATATACAGGTTCAGGGCCTCTGGCTTGCCTAATCTGTTGAAGCCCAGCCAAAGCTTTATCAGAAGCCTTTCCTACATCATTCCATCCCTTCCTTGTGACTGATAACCAAACTGCTTACTACTTGACTCAGTAGAGCTACCCCTTCTGCAGGCTGGGCTGTCGGTAGTAGCCTCTCTTATTCACTGTTTGACCACTTCAAACACACTCTACAGCTCCCCCAATCAGTGCTGTCTTATTTTAAAGCGCCCCAAACTCCCACAGGACCTTCTGTGAATAGTTGCAGGTGTATGTCCCATAATCCTTCCTCTTTATTTGTGTGACTCGGGCAAGGAAGCTAAGGGTGTCCTGTACGGTTTGAGTCCCTCCCAGATCTAGGGATGGGCAATTCAAAACCAGACCCAGGAGCCTAGCTCATTGTTGTCCTACTGATTCCAATGGTGGGATGTCAGAGCGTTGACGCTCTCTAGGGTTGCCTTGTCCGTCATCTTTCTGGAAGCAGCTTGTCAGGTCTTTCTTCTGCGGTGCCTCAGAGTGTGTTTGAACTGCCAACCTGCAGGTTAATCGTTGAGAGGAAACCATTTGAGCCACACAGCCACCTCCCCCGAGATAGGAATGGGTCGTGAAAGAACCAGTGCTAGGAGTCCAGGCCCCTTATCGATTTATACTGGAAAGGTGTGCTTATGGGCTATGACAAGGGGGCTGGTCCACTTAAAGTTGGTGGCCTGCCTCGTTCCACTTGGGTCTCTCTCAGGCATTTCCCATGAGGACAGATTTTCTTGGAATCTGAGCACCAGCGGTAGTTAGTTTATTGTGCCAACCCAGCCAATAAACACATGTGGGGTTAATTGAAGGGAGGAGAGATAAATGGCTCTGTGAGCCTCACCTTTCTAGTTCTCGGGTCTCTTGCTTTGTGATGGTCGGATTAGGGTACAGTTCCCTTAGCCAGTTCCCTGCTTTAACTGGCAAGGCTCACTTCCTGCAAGACATCCCCAAGGAGAAGCTGCATGGACCTACCCCAATGCAGCCCTGGGTGCTGGAGCAGCCGTGTGGAGATCCCTGCCAGCGCTGAGATGCTTACATGTTCACTGATTCGGCTTTCCTCCTGCAGTCGGCATCATTGCGTATGTTTTGTGGGATGGAGGAGGACTTTGTGGATTGTTGTTGGACATATGGGCTAATGTTGGACTTGGCTTGGGCAGCACTGGGTTGGGATGTTTTCTTGATGCACTTACCCTTTATATAAAACTCTCTCTTGTACATATGGGTTTCTGTGAATTTTTTTTCTCTAATGTACCCGGACTAGCACAGCACCAATTTGCAGAGATGTGGCCTCAGACCAGACAGCTTACCTCAGTGCCCTTATTAGTGTCTTTTCATTTATTTTTGAAGGTTTTCTTTCAGAAAAAATTGCCAAGGGACTCCTGAAGGGAGGCCCTTAAGGATGAGAGGTCCTAGGAGAGGCACTTCCCTCGGGACCTCATGCTGGTGTGTGATGCTGCTCTGGGCTGATCGTGGTACCTTGTCTTGTGAGAGGACTGTGTAGACGGGGAGAGTCCAATGTAACATCTGTTAGATTAGTGAGGCAAGAGGAAGTTTTATTGTTCTAGCCTGGGGGGGGAAGGCACTCTACTTTCCTGATTACAATGCTGGGTGTTGGTCAGAAGGCAGAAGGTGGAGGGTTGAATGAGCTGTGTCCTATCTGTACTGTGAGGGCTGGGCCCTCTGGGGCCAAGTCCAGGATGACAGCCTCGTCTAGGTGTATCCATTCTCCACGTGACCAATTTGGAGGTTCAGAGCCCGGGGATCTCACCACAGATGGCAATCCCCATAAAGGACAGAATTTGGATTTCAAAACAAGAGTTGGGGTCAACTGCCAGCGCCACACCTTGAAGAAAGAGAATAAATTGTAAAAGAGGCGATCCCTTCATTTCCGTAGGACCCCAGAATAAAAGGGACGCATTATACAGCTGCACTTACACCAGATGTTGGGTTCACTTTAACTCTAGTAGCAAAAGACGAGGGCCCTAAAATAATGATCCCTCTTGTCCCTGCACTGCTGACCTTCACATTTCCTTCTATTTAGTTCACTGGCTCTTAAGTTATCCCTTAGATTCCCTTCAGGTTCGCCTTGCTTACCTGTCGGATCCTCCCAGTATAAAGAAAGTTAGGCTAACTCATACTAAGATGAAAGTAAGTGGCTACAATAGTCTAAAGCAGTGGTTCTCAACCTGTGGGTCGCAACCCCTTTGGGGGTCAAACAACCCTTTCACAGGGGATGTCCACTTCATAAGATGAGCAAAACGACAGTTATGAAGTAGCAACAAAATTAATGTTATGGTTGGGAGTCACCACAACATGAGGAACTGTATTACAGGGTCAAGGCATTAGGAAGGTTGAGAACCACTTCTCTAATGGGAAGGCATTTTCTGGAATGGCAGCAAATCTCAAAGTCTTCTCTGACAATGTTTTCCAAGCTTTCCACCAATCCTCCCACATACTTCTGATAAGGTTCCCAACCTCTGGAATACTCCTGACCAAGAATGATTTCAAAGTCCGAGGATTTCATACTCATAACTTCTGGCATTGTGACAGAGTCCAGAGGACCCCAAAGCAATGGATGGCTAATATCGGGGTGCCGGCACAGTGCTGACGAGGCAGGCGTTGATGAAGTTGACGAGAGGTCAAGTGAAGGTCGTCACTGACTATGAACTTCCACTGTCAAGATGAACTGCCATTCGACCATCTGATAGAGCTGTTAACCTCAGGGCGCTGCATGTCAGAACATGACCTTTGACTCCACGGGACAGTGCACTCCAGATCTAAAGGTGTTCGTAGCCAGCGATAAAGAAATGGCACTGACCTGAAAACTCTCATTAGAATTCGGAGCACCTTACAAATACTACTACTCCTTCTAGCGCATCCTGGATTGGGGTTTCTAGTGAGGTTGTTAACACACCTTCTTTTTGTTGCTTGGCAAAGTAGGTGGGGACTGCTCTGCACAGGTCCTTGATGGGCATTCCATACTGGGCCAAGTTCTTGACCCGGCTGGGTAAAACCGTGTAGGTCAGGCCTCGAGTGGAGGGGTATTGCTTTAAATCCTGTAAGAGGTGGCATATCAAAACAGTGAGATAGATATAGACATGATACAGCAAGGGGGCAAGAATGTAGACCAGGGAATCTAGCTCTTATGGCTTGAGTTATATTCTCCCAAAATATGTGTTGCAATCCTAGTTCCTATAACTGGATATGTTCTAAGCTAACATTATGTAGTCATTTCCCATAATGCAATCTCATGCAATGCAATCAATTCATGAAGGCCATACCAATATAGGTTAGAGCAGTGGTTCTCAACCTGTGGATCGAGACCCCTTTGGGGGTTGAACGACCCTTTCACAGGAGTTGCCCAATTCATAACAGTAGCAAAATGACAGTGATGAAGTAGCAACAAAAATAATTTTATGGTTGGGGGTCACCACAACATGAGGAACTGTATTAAAGGGTCGTGGCATTAGGAAGGTTGAGAACCACTGGGTGAGATCCTAAGCCCCAAAACTTCTGAGTTATACAAGAGCACAATCGACGGAGAAATGTGTACATGAACTGGGTTAAGCAGACTGTCTGATGAAGATGTGGTCGATGAAGCTACAAGACCTTGAACTCCAAGAATTTCTGGCCACTAGAAGCTGAAATAGACAAAGGAGAATCTTCTCCTGGAGGCCACACCCTGAATGTGGACTTCCATCCTGTGGAACCATGAGAAAACACACTTATGTTCTTTACAGATATCCACACGTGATCTTTCTCTTAAAGCAGCACTAGCTAATGAAGACCCTGGCCTACAGACATGCGAGGGACTGGATTGACTAAAATCATTGTAACCCTAAATTTGTCCCTGAGTTTGACCTCTAGCGGCCACATCTTATCTGGACCCAAGATGATTATACGGCTCCAGAACAATCTTTTTGGGTCTTCCCCGGGGACTCTTCTTTAGTCGAGGTCTCCTTGGCCTTTTTTAACTCCTCAACTCTTCCAAACCTGCCCCCACCCCCCACCCCGTGCTTTCCCCATCTCTTCTTCATGGCAACAGAGAATGATTTCAATATCCTTTGTTGTATCTATATTTTTTTCCACTTGGTAAATCCGATGAGTGAAATACTTTCTTTTTCTATAAACAGTTTACTGGGACATAGTCCACCCATCACACAATTCCATAGTTCAATCATATTAAGAAGTGTTGTACAATCATCGCCACCACCAATTTTAGAACATTTTATTTTTTCTTATACTCCTTGTTATTAGTGTCCTATCCCCCACCCCATCCCCAAGCTCTCTTGTCATACCCCCAAGAAACCATTATTGTCTCTCTAGGCACAACCATTCTGGGTGTCGCATACTGAAAAACATATAAAACCAAGAGTCAGAGTCAGAAAAGCTAACACCAATAACAAAATATAATAGCAAAAAAGATTAAAAGCTAGAACAACTTTAAGATGGGTCAAAAGGGAGATCAAATGATAAAGTGTTAGATTTTAACCGAGTTACATCTGTATGTATTCTGTATGATCGCTAGACTTTGCACATCACTGGTCTGTGTTCAGAGAGGACTCATGGGAGAGTCCACCCCATGTGTTTCCCCTTCACGCTTATTGTTTAACTCATAGAATTTTTAGATGTGCCAAAAAGGGGATCAAATCAGATACTATGCTGTAACCATCCAAACAGGGTGTTAACATTTTAATCTATTATAATCATCTCTATAATACTTTGTCTGATAATGACTATTCACATCCCTTGACTATAGTCAGAGGGACGTCACCAGAGGCTTAATCTATGTGTGGATCTTACAAATGGATTTTTGGCTTCCACTGTAACCCATAGCCTTTTGAAAACCAGGAGTTCACCATTTCACCTCTGATACCATTCCCTCCTTTGTATTTGGATGACATTATTTATCATCTTTGGATCGCACAGCCTGGCATGCTTCTTCCATGTGGACACTTTCAGGTTGTTTTTTTTCTTTTGAAAAATAAAATCACACACTTTATTTTTATGACCCGAACAGTAGTTTCCCCCCCAAAGTCAGTAACCTTCCCACCATGGACAACAGTGATGTCCATGTAAACCGTGAGCAGATTTCAATGATTTCAAAAGTCCCCCTGCTGGTTTTAAATGTATTTGGCTACTATTGTGGTTTGAGAGGCAGAGAGGGAGTGTCAGCAGACTTCAGCTTCATTTGGGAGTGCCTGTGTGGCATCAGTGGAAAATATGCTTGGCTGCTATTGGAAGGATGTGGTTCAAGTCTACACAGAGGCACCTTGGATGAATGGCCTTGCAATCTGCTTCAGAAAAAAAATCCATGGAGCACAGTTCTACTCTAACACGTCTGGGGTTGCCATGAGTTGGAACCAAATCAAAGACAGCTTTGATTTGGAGCTGTTTGGGGGTAGAGGGGGGAAAAGTATGCATTGTCTCTGGGTGGTATCGCGGGAGGAGGAGATGCAATGCTTGGTTAATTCACTCTATTGTTTATATTCAACAACTTGCATCCTTCAAGAATACCTCAACTCTTTCTGGAAGACAACAAAATGATATCATTTATACATCTCACTGATTAAAATGTGATTTGACTTAATGGGCCACTGGCTGGTCTTGGGGTTGTTTGCGAGGTGGTGCTATTTCCTGGGCATGAAAGAGGATCATGAGCTAAGTATTCTTGGGAGCAAAGCATTGTCCTGGAAGATTGGGATGTAGAACTGTAAAACACCCAGGGTGGCGGGGACCCCAGGGGGCTGTCTCTCTTACCTGTTGGTCCAAGGCTCGGATCATTTCATCCAAAGTCGGGAAGGCAGCTTTGTCCATCTTGGTCAGGACACAGGCCATCTTACTAAACAGCCTAGCTGCCAAGAGAGCCTTCAAGCAAGACAGCAGAAACATTTTATTCACTCCATGAATGGAATCCCACTTTCTGTTGCTCAGGGTTGTTTTTACTAAGCAGAGCAGAGTGCTGTCTTGGGGTCCAGAGCAATGAGTGGGGCTCAAGACTGGCACCACACACAGAGCCCTGCTGCTCCTGAGGGTCCCTGGTATACTGCCTCTGCTGCCCAATCCCCTTAGGAACCCCGCCACTGCTCACAAGCTGGTGGGAATCCAAGCCAGGGGTCAGCTCTGGCACCCACTTTTCGTGGACATTCTGGTTCTGTTCTGCCACGCATCGGCCATCATGGTCTGGCCATACGCTGATTTTCTTAGACACGTGAGAGAGAAGACTATTGGCCCCTCACCATGGAGTTGTCAGAAAGGGGAATGGACAAGCTATTTACTGCTGGTGAACGTGTCCTGCAATGCATAAAGGCCTCTCTGACGATAAAAGGAGTCAGGACCTCTAGCCTCAGACTCTAAATCTGGGTCTGTTCTTGGCCACCTTGCTACTGGCCGCCCCCTTCCATGTGATGCTGGGGCTGTCTGTCTTTTGGGCCATTTGTCCTCTCCACTTTCGACCGGAGCAGTGGTTCTCCAGCGGGTCTGACGGGGCCCAAGGGCACCTTGCCCGAATCACCCTCCTCCACCCAGAGCTGCCCTCACTTCTTTGGTTCTTTCCTCTATGTTTCCATGGAACATGTTGGTCGAAGAAAGCCGTCCTTGTTTTGCCACAAAGTTCAATATCCCTGGGCTCTGTGTGCTCGAAGAGGACGTTGAGCTCCCGGCAGAAATCAGGAGCCGGGTCAGTGTTAAGGGAGAGAGGTAGACCTGGTGTTCGGGGAGAAGACCCTGGCAGGTACAGGTACGAGCAGAGAGAGCTCTGTGTTTGAGGGGTCCATTCAGAGGGGGCCATGAAGAGAATGAAACAAAGGGGAGGCAAATGGCTTCCAACCAACAGGGGCTAGACCCAAGGGGGCCTTGTAGGACAGAGGGAAGCAACTGAGCCTTTGCTTCATTGAATCCTCTGCGAATCCTGTTGGAGAGACAGATATGGATGATATTTTGCCGATGAGGAAATGGACGTCCACAACAGCCAAGAAAGAGCTATGTAGTCATATAGAGTCCTAAGAGGGCCACGAGGAGACATATAATCATGCTACCCGATCTTACATCTTTCTACTGGGTCTTATTATCTGAGGAGATAAGCGAGTTAAACTAAGATTTCTAAGGTCCAGACAAACCTATTCTACAATATATACTGATGATACACAAGGAGGCTCTTTAAATGGTTTTCTTATTAGGGCAGGGTGGGCGGACGGGGCAGGTATGTGGTAGCCATGTGAAGTTTACAGGCCACAAGAATGCAAGGAGATCAGGGATCCTTGCAGACCAGAGAAGTGCCTCCTGTAATCTCCGCACATCAAGAAGTTGCTGCAATGGCAGGAAAGCGGTCTCCTCGCCTCTAGACCCATCACAGACCCAGATCTAAAGCAAGCACACGTAGACAGCGCTTTCACCTCGCCAGGAAAGCACAGGCTACAAGGTTTTCTTTGGCGTTGTAATCAATGCATCTCACAGCTTACATTTTTGTAGTCCATGATGCCGTCCCATTCACTCAGGACATTGTTGTCTCGGAGGCGGACCACGCCCCGGAAGGCATTCACGTGGATACTTTGGGTTCCAGAAGACCCATCCAGCACACGGCTGTCACTGGTGTTCTGCATCAAACCACAAAGCAGTGAAAAAAGCTGAAAGTCCACGACTTTGCCCAAACCTCGCAGAATTATGGGGCACTCGCAAGACATTTAAGGCAAGTTGCATTTGATGATCGCAGTGGAAATATTTTTGATAAAGGAGGACGAGCCAGGTTGAACGCTCTCCACCCTCACTCACCATCAAGGCCATCGATGGAGTTAGGAGGAAGATCAAGAGAGTAGAAGACAAGATCTGAAATGCAAACAAGTCATTATATACCCCCGCTCTTAAATTTAGATGAGCTCAGAAGCCCTGCCTGGACTTGAAATCTTTAAATAATACAGCTTTCCTTGTTTGTCATGTTCCATGACCCATTGTGTGTGCAGGAAGTTGTCATTCGGTGTGGTTGAGATGATGTACGCTGGCGTCTCAAGAGGCAACGTTTTATCATTGACTGAAAAGATCTTTTATTTCCTAAGGCAATGGCTTATTCTACATCTACTGCTAATCACCCTAATAAGTGTTCAGATCGATCACTTGATCTGCATGTAGGGTCAGGCAATCCTTAGGCCAAATTGAACAGTAACTTTTCTCTTATTCTCTTCTCTCAACAACTGGACACCCCCTCTGGAGCCTGACACCCCTCTGCTCTCCTTTCCCCGAGATTATTTCACCAGGCTTGAGGAAAAAAACATCCTATATCTCCTATAAACACCTCCTTTTGAAATCTATTTTACTCAGATTTTAATACTTCCTGAAATGTTTGCAATTCATCTTTTACTCTCTCTCTCTCTCAGTGTGACCGTTGAAAGAATCTCAGGCATCAAAGAGAGTAAAGAGAATTGGTGGGGTTGGAGGAGAGTAGGTCAAGAAAGTCTTCCAGTGAAAGTCTTCCAGTGACCTTGATCTTCCCCTCTATATCCGATCTTCTTAAAGCCGACCCAGTTCAAGTGCACTCACAACTTCAGCTACACTGGACAGGAATTCCCTTCTCCTCCATCGCCACAATACCCCTTGCAAGAGTCTAACTATCATGACAACCATACAGGTGAGATGCACATTTAAAGAAAAAAGAAAACAGTTTCTTTATAAGTAATAATAATAAAAATAGTGCAGTAGGTTATAATCGAGGAGATGGCTGAGATGCTGGTAGCAGCAATAGGTCATTAAGGTATTTGGAGGGTGGGTTTCACATATTAAATATTTGAAGCTTTCCTTCCTCTTATAAGTAAGAGGAACCTAAAAAGAGAGGATCCTAAAATAAGAATACTTTTACTAAATCCAAAAATACTATTAATGACTTTAGAAATTATTTATTAGACAGGCTTTCATGGCATGCATCAAATTAGTATTTGGAGAATCTCCTTGGGTTTGGTGTGAAGAATGCATGGAAAAATAGGTTACTTAACTACTTTGATCCCAGCACCATCTATGTTTCCATATGAAGAAAAATGTATATATACTTACAAGGCATTTCATGTTGCCCCTCTCTCAAACCCCGAGAAACTGCATGCATAATCGGATTTACCACATCCTATTTGTCTTCTAAGTTTGGTTTATATAGGCCCAGACCTCTCAGCTGCAGTGGTGATAAAAGACTTGGTGGCAGTTGACCACGATCCAGGTACCATTCAGGAGGGGACAAGGCTAACTTATGTAATCACAGTTATCGCGGCCCTGTAACGCCTGCTGAGCAGTTTCCCTTTACTCTGCTTACTCCTCAGGTCCCAAGGCAAACATGGCAATGAACAAGGCTTTGTGGGCTGGCAGGCAGGTGACCTCAACGACTAAGGTAAGGACTGAGAACAGCAGATGCTGCCTAATGGGCCCAGCACACATCAATGGGCTTACTGTTTCGACTTTGCGATTCCAGAGCAGTTCCTTACATTTCACCTCAGTGGGGGTGGTTGAGAAAAGCCCTCCAAAGCTGAAAGAAATGGAGAGGAACTGTAAGATTAGACTGATGGAAAAGCAATCTGGACTAGGTCTTCATCCAACACAGAAATCACACGATTGTTCGACCTTGCCCTCTGCCCACCCACGAAGCTGGCCTCACTTCACCTCTTCAAACTTATTCTGTTGACTTCGCTTGTTCTGTACCTTGACATTTTGCTTTTACTCCGCAGTTTGTCTCTCTTCACAGATTTAATTATATATAATATGTTTAATGTATCATTATATTATGATTTGTTATAATACAGTATTTTAAATTATATTTATAATAGATTTATATTATAAATATAGATGATATAATTTTTCCTTCCTCCCTCTGAAAAGACCCATGAACCAGTCTTGGTACTCCTGAGAGATAAGGAAATCACCTTCGTTTCCAGTGGCGGCTGTAATAACATAGCACAAAGTGGGCTATTCTGAAAAACAGAAATTTTGGCTTCACAGGGATGGGCTCCAAGAGTAAAACTGCAGAGCTTTGGCAGGACCCCCCCCACCTCTCTCTGCATGCAAGAGGACAATCCTTCCTGGTCTCCCCCAGCATCTGAAATCCCTGAGTGCTTCTTGGAGAACGTTGGCTTTCAGATTCATCTTCACAGGGTGCCTGTCTTCCCCTGTGTGGCCCTGTCTTCCGGTCTAGTCTGCCCTGTTATAGACGCGACTCAGAAGACAATAGGGCCTACTTCCCTCCCTGATGACCTCATTAACTTAATGGATCACATCTTCCACCAAAAATCTACTTCCAAACACTGTCACATTCACAGGGACAACAGTAGGACTTCACCATTTGAATTTTGGGGACACAATTAAACGATCCAGGAACGATTGACTTTAAATGGCAAGACAAACACCAGTTTAGTCCTTTTCGTATGCTAACTTTTAGTTTTTATTATTTTCATCATTTAATTTGTTTCTCCCATACTCACTGGTGGTGGCCCACCTACTTGAATCCGATTCCAGGAAGCCAGGGACAAATAGTTCTCCTGAAGGAAATGGAGCCTGAGTGAGACTGAGAATTGGAATCATCAAAGAAGGAAGTGTCAGATGCAAAAAGAACAAGAGAAACATAAGTATGATGTAATCTGAACCCAGGGCAGCCTGAAAGTCCCTGAGACCATCAACGTGAAGTTCCCATCGCCCATTTACATCGAGTACTGTGGGCACTGAACTTGCTGCTTCAAAAAACGACAAACAGAGCATGTCCTCCCTAATATGTGACTGAAGACATAAATGGATTAAAGGAATGAGTTTCAGGAACCAGCAGGCCTCGTCTCCAAACGCGTGACATGCCTGAGACCATAGAACCAGCTGCACCAAGGGCTAAAGATGCGTAGCCTGTTTCCACACAGATGGCGGCCTTGGAAACCCCACGGGACAGTTCTAGGAGTAGGGAATGATCCAATGCTCGGAGATTTGGTTTTTGTTAATGAGTTTGTTTCTTGGGCTTATGGTAATAGTGCTTGCATGGTTGTCAAAATGTAGGTGCGTAGGTTTGCAAATAAGCAATGTTTCAGCCTCTGTATTCAATTCCGCGCCACTGGAAGAAAGTTTGAAAACCACTTTGTTCTTGCTCTCTATTGCTGACGCCATCCATTCCACCTCCTCGCCAGCTCTTCTGACCCTGTCCCTCCTCTAAGTCATCAGAGATCTGCCATGATTGAGCCCCAAGTGCCCTTGGCAGCCCTGTTTATGTTTCTTTCCCACCTATGGCAGATGTAAGCATACCGCAGTCTGCACTGTGCCCCAGGGGCCACCCATGCCTGCGTGCATGCCTTGAGGCTCCTTACTCCTCCCCCCTACCAATTTCCCACAGTGTATTTGAATAGCTGCCCTCTCACCAGCCTTTTTCCCCTTCACTCCCAACCAAATGCCATCTTTTCTCAATTTGAAATGCCATAAGCCTCTGCTGGGACTTCTCTTGTGCTCTGGATATTTGTTGCTACGCTATATTGATTCGTGTCTTTATCTGATCACTCTTAAATTGCACAGGTATGCCAGTGGACTCCACATGCTAGAAGGTTAGGGATTTCATTTTGCTCTGTGCGGAATCTCCAACCCACGGCCACTGAGTCGACTCTGACTCAGAGTGACCCGAGATGGGGTTTCCAAGGCTTTGTGTATCATTACGGGAGCAGACAGCCTCATCTTTCTTCCACAGAGCGGCTGGGGGCTTTGAACTGCCGACCTTGCGGTTCGAAGTCCAAAGCTGCCACCAGAGCTCCATCATGGGTGGGAAAAGTATTATCACTTCCATCCAGTTTTCTGTGAACTTTCTGAAGTATTGAGAATGGCACTTAGCATAGAGTAGGTGTTCAACCATTTATACGGGAAATGAGTAAATTGATTGCATGATGGTATATCATTTATCTTTGTACCTTCTGGACAGTTTAGCAGTGCTTGCCAGTAGTACTATATATATATAGTGATATATATTATAGTGATATATATATATATCACTATATATATATATGTATAGTGATACATATCAGATGTATGATATATAGTGTGATATTATATACATATACATATATACACATGAACTTCCTCCTGTTGAGTTGATTCAGATTCACAGAGACCCTATCAGGCAGAGTACAGCTGCCTAATAGGGTTTTCCAGGCCGTAGTTTTTGTAGAAGGAGACTACTCTCTTTTTCTCCTGCCCAGTAACTGGTGGGTTTGCACCACCCGCCTCTTGGCTAGCAGCCTGGTGCTTTAACCACGGCGCCACCAGAGCTCCTTGATATATAAAATACATCTATGCATGTATCTAAAGCACTTTAAAGTTTGAAAATTACTTTTTGAGTCATACGTTCTTGACTCCTTATGACCCACTGTTGGGCTAAGCAGAGCAAGGCTTATTGAGCCATTTTACCGATTAAGCTTTAACTAGGACAGAGCTGTTATGCAGAGTCTGGACTTGAACCCAGGTCTAGGACTCCGGAGGCTCAGCCTCCCTGCATTCCCCCTTCTACCCCAAGAGCGCTGCTTTGGGGAGCTGTCCTTGTGTATATGAGGGTCAGTCATCAAATACTGTTACAAAACCACAGCAAGGTTTCTGAAAGAAAATGTGAAACTGTTGTCCCTCCCCACTCCCTCTATATAAGTCCAGACCCGTGGTTCTCCACCTTCTCCATGCCGCGACCTTGAATGCCAGTCCTCATGTGGTGGGGACCCCCAACCATAACATTATTTTCACTTCAACACTGTCATTTTGCTACTGTTATGAATCATCATGTAAATATCTGATATGCAAGATGTCTT